GAAAAATTTGATGCATTACCCAATTTTAAAGGGGTAAGTGGTCATGACATGGATTGTTTTTTATTAGTTAAGGTTCACTTATAATGTTAATAGTTTTTTGCACATAAAGAAACGCGGCTCCTTTAAGGTGTGTCGGTAAACGCCCACTGTTATGATTGGCTAATGTCACTGCATCAACACAGTATCAACACACACACACACACACACTCCCTGATCTGTTATCAGAGGTAAATGTCGAAATTATGCATTTCAGAAATGTACATTTACAAATCACAGTGAGCTAAAATGATATTAATTTAACCAATGTAATAATTTAAGGCGGAAACAATGAGCTCATTGAAGTAATGAATACTTGTTTGTGTTAACAAATGATTATGACATGTAGATATACACGCATGTGTGTAACTGTGGTTGCAGACGCTCAGTCCTCTTGCATGCGAGTGTTCACGAACTGGTGTTCAATACGGCGAACGACTTGCGTATTCGGCCCATTGAAACACTCACTGATGATGAGGCATCTATGCGTATACATCTATGATCGCAGATCTTCTGAAGCCTCAGAGACTCAAACCTGCTGTTTAAAGCAACACTAAGTAAGATTTTTTACCTTAAAATAATGTTTCCAAACTGGTTTCAGTGGTTCTTTAAGTCGTAACAGGGTGAAAGGCACTTCTGGATCCTGTATCTGCTATAACCACGCTGTGTAAGATTGCCAGATCGGGTCGCGTTTCTGTAGTTCTAATGAGACATCAGAAAACTACACATTTGACTTGCTTTACGTCAAGCGTTACAATAGTCATTATTTAGTTTTTCTTCGTTTCTGATGTCGCAATACATCATACTTTCATGAAATCATGCAACATACTCTAGCTTGTCTGCGGACATCGTTCACTCCAGAGCCAGCGCTGGATAAACAGCGAGTGTGTGTGCGATAGTCGGCTCCGCTAGGCTAACTTATTTACAACAGCGGTAATGGACAATTCCACTTCCAACCTGTAGGGCGACCGCAGAGGAAACGTTACTTGCTTTAAACCGCATTATTATGATTTACGGCTTATTAATATAGCGCGCGATTAGTCGACTAACGGCTGAAATGAACGACTTCTAGTCGACTAGAGAGATCTTTGGCCTAGTAACTATTGGTCGATGTCTGGCTCTGGAGGCGGGAATATGCAGATGAGTTTGCCCATGTGACGTCAGAAATCCCGCAATACTTTTTCATAAAAAATATAATGAGTAGATGTTTCCACATATCTGACAACTAGCACAAATACAAGCAAGTCCACATCTCCACTGAACTTTCTTTATGCATCAAACTAATTCCATCAAGTGAAATAATCTGGGGTGGATTTAGGAGTTTCTAAATGAATGAAATCAGCAGCTTTACAGGAGATTCCAGACGCTCGTGACCTTGTTATTCCCAAACACTCCCGTTTTACATCACATTTGTGTGTGTGTGTGTGTGTGTGTGTGTGTGTGTGTGTGTGTGTGTGTGTGTGTGTGTGTGTGTGTGTCTGTGTGTGTGTGTGTGTGTGTGTGTATGTGACGGGAATCTGGAAAGCTTTGGCTTATGGTGACCTACATATAGTGGCACGTTTGTTCAGTTGTCCACGGCTGTAATGATGTGGTTGTGTATGATGGATAAACACGCATGATTCAGCATTAAACAGAAACACATCACGCCTCATGCGCCGGTTCACAGAGTCTAGCGAAACGCTTGTGTGGAAGGACAGACGCTTTATTAATCTCGTGCTGAGAGAAGCTTGTGATGCTTCGGCATCCAGACATCATCACTTCAGTGTTGCACATTACAATATACATTTGTTTTTAATCACCCATAAGTTTGATTAAACCATTCAAATGTGAAGAATATAAGAACAAAACACTAAACATGTTTAGGGTGAATTTTGATAAAATTATTTACCAATTTTTATTTTATTTTACTATTTAACAAAATGCACAGAAAAACAATAAGCTGCAGGAAAAAGCAAACATTGACTGCAACATAATCAGTTATTGATATTTGGTTGATTGTCTTGTTTTTGCATGTGTTCATAATCTCTTTGCCTGGACAAAAATGATGTCGCACAATTTTTCATGATTCATTGCTTTATTATCACCAATAAACCAACCGACTCGAGGGCACAACTACACAATATGACTACAAAATCATTAATAATATTTGAATAAAGATGAAGATGTCAATTTTTCTAGTCCGGATATCACTTTTGAACACGACTGTGCTTGTACATTTTTAAAACATTTTTGACGTCGACATGTTTTATTATTATTATTATCACATTTTGCCATTATGGAATTGAGAATCTATAGCCAGTTTGCTGCTTAATGGTCCTTAAAATAGGCAAGTGTGTGTGTTCTTCCATCATGAACAGATGCAGCATTTCATGTTATGCTTCTCATGCATTATTTAATACGCATAAAAGCATGTTTTGCACATGCAGAGAGTGTTTAACTGCACTGTCTTTCTCATCGCTGTCAGTCATTTAAGCTTTAGTAGAGCTGGAATATACAGGAGAAACTCGAAAAATTAGAATATGGTGCAAAAGTTCATTTATTTCAGTAATTCAACTTAAAAGCTGAAACTAATATATTATATAGACTCATTACATGCAAAGTGAGATATTTCAAGCCTTTATTTGTTATAATGTTGATGATTATGGCTTACAGATATGAAAACCTTTTCACAATATTCTAATTTTGAATTTGGGGTTTTCATAAGCTGTAATCCATAATCATCAAAATTATAACAAATAAAGGCTTGAAATATCTCACTTTGCATGTAATGAGTCTATATAATATATTAGTTTCACCTTTTAAGTTGAATTACTGAAATAAATGAACTTTTGCACCATATTCTAATTTTTCGAGTTTCACCTGCAAAAATTGTACAAACAGTATCCTGACATATGACTTAGTTATTGTTTATTTTTTATTTAGTTTATTTATTGCCTATTATTATTATAAATATATTATAACTGAATGTATTTACTCAAGCATTAATGAGAAATTCGCACAATATCACAAAGAAGCGAAGAGTTGTTGTGCATGTATATGTGTGTGCATATGAAGTGTTTCGAGCTGAAGACAGAAGTGTCCAGCACTGATATCCGGTACAGCACAATTCACATCTTCACCCGTTATTCAAATATTATTATGATTTTGTCTTCATATTGCGTAGCTGTGCTTGGAGTCGATTGTTTTATTAGTGATAATAATGCAATGAAACATGAGGAAATGTGCGACATCATTTTTGTCCAGGCAAAGAAACACATGCAAAAATAAGAGAGAACCAAACAAATATTAATAACTGATTATGTTGTAGTCAATGTTTGCATTTTCCTCTCAGATTTTTGTTTTCAAAGCATTTTTTTTTTTTTGCATGGTAAAATAAAACTTGTAGCTGTAGTTTGCATTTTTGTCACATACCTTACCCAAGTTTAGTGTTTTGTTCTTCCATCATATTTAAAATATGAATAAGATATTTTCCGCATTAGTTCTGCAGAAGCTTTCCCTCATTGCACACTTTGAATGATTTGCCAAAGACACACTGTATTCGACTGTTGCTTGCGACACACTGGGTTATTATGTAACGTTTCATCAATGACTTTCTGATTCCATCTCACACTAGATAGATTAATAATAAGTCGTTTGATATTCATAGTGATGTGCGTTTCTACTGGAAGAGAGGCGACATTTTCCTGCTCTTCAGTGCAATCTCTTTCTAATGTCTGCAATTGGTTTAATGGTTTGTTGAATAATTGTTAACATAGATACTGTTATGCAAGAAAAAATGACGATTTAGTCTGACGATAGAGTAAATGCTATGAAAACACTTTCGGTTGGTTTATTCAGCCCAAAACGGACTCATTTATAGGAGAAATCAGCCGTGAGAGACGAGACGAGCAGAAACACGATGTAGAGGAACAATCTATTACTGCGCTTTACAGAATGGCAAATTAGTTATTTGTGTTTATGTAGTTGTATTTTTGTGTACATTGTTGTATTATTATGTGCTTTATAAATAAATTGGAATAGGAAGAACTGCAATATGAGACACATAAGTGAATGAGAAACTAATTTTGTGTTTCCATTTGCTCAAATAGCAAAAAAAATTATAAATAATAATAGTCCACAATAGTGTTTCCACGAAGCATTAACTATTTATTATTATTATTATTTGATGCCATGGTAATAGGCTCTAACAGAAAGTAAAGTGTTGTAAATGTACATAACCTTTTTTTAAGGAAATACTATATATAGAATAACTGCAGAAACATGACAGCACTTTTTGTTTTATAGCAACACTGTTGGTGCAGGTCAGAGCTCCGAGTTTACATATTGTAATTATGAGTTATTCTATGAACGCTTTTACAAGTCTGAGAAGCGTGAACGCACATTGTTTTCAAAAAGGTTTCCAACGAACAGTCCTCTCGCCTGCTATTGGTCACACTCGCAGATAGCCCCGCCCCCAAACCCACGCCAATTTCTGGCGCACTGGATCTTTTAACGCTCGCAAGTTTTGTGTAATTTTTTTTATAGCTTTTCCCTTTTCTCTGTATCCCCAAATGTTCCTTTTTCTGTATTATTTCTTTTTGTACTGAATTATAATTATGAAAAAAAATAAAAAAAATCTTGACACGCTCAAACAGAACGCGCGCTCACAGACAGTCAGGTGTGTGTTTCTGTTCATCATCGCCAAACTATCTCTCTTTTCTCCTCTCTCTCTCCCCCTCTCTCTCTTCATCTCCGTTTATCCTCCTCCTCTTCTTTACGGAACGGCCACGCGCTTCTCGGTTCTCCCCAGTCTCGCGCTAGTGATGACGCGACCTCCGCACGCGCACGAGCATAGGCTACATTCATCAGCCGTGGACATGTGAGATTAGATGGAGGTCCATCAGCTGGGGTTCTCGTGCTCTGTTTTACACTCCTCTCCATGCAATCCCTCGCTTTATCATCCCTCGCTTTCTCTCGCGCGTCCGCGTCTCGCGCGCTGCTGCCACCGCGATGGGGAATTAACTAAAGTTGTCCGCGAGCATCGGGAGATGTGAAGGATGTAATCTGAGGGAAAAGCGGATCGTGTTTCAGTCATGCAGGAGCAGATGAAGATGAAGATCCCACAGGACCTGCTATCAATCGCTCTTTTCTAAACCATTTCCACCGAGACGCTTGAGGATGAAATCGGAGTGAGTCCGGATCCATGTCATGATGGACGTGTTCAGTTTCGTGAGGAGGTGAGTCTGCGGGCGTCGCGCGAACATTCGCGGTCTTTACACTGTTATCATGATGATATCGGGGTATTGACTTCTCGCAATGCCTGTCTTTTAATCGCGTGTTTGACTGGATGATGAATATGCAGAAGTGCTGATGGTGATGATGATGTCACGGGAACTGATGATAACGCATCTGTCGCATCTTCTCATTCATTCAGTCCTGATGCCTTAAATACCCAAATATCAGTCGAAGTGCCTGAAATACGAACCTTTAGAAACAGCGAATATTATTGCCTATATTTACACACGCACATGTGTGTGTGTGTGTGTGTGTAGTTAATTTAAAATTCTGCATTTAGAGATTTATAGTAAGTAGCCTTCTATGTAGAAAAACAGTATTTTAAATCACAAATTTGTGCATTATTCAATGTCTATGTAGATTTGGTTTCAAACTATATTGATGACACACATGCCTATTGTGCAAATCAATAATAAAGTGATACAAATAATAGCACCTATATCACAAAAAATGTCAAACTGTGGACATATGATACTGATATACTGAGTTATTGATACAAGATCACTTAATTTTACTGAGACATTTAAGACATCTTAAAACTATATATATAATACACACACACACACATGTAAAAATGTGTATGTGTGTGTATATGTATATGCATGCATGTAATTTATTGTATATATTAAGCATTAATTTATGTAGCTACATCTTTTGGCCTGTTGTATTATTTATGATCATAATAACACCGTATTCTGCATATATTATCAAGCTCATATGTTGATGAAGTGGAGAATGGCGCTTGTGATTTAATTCGTGTCCCTCATATATAAGCCGGACGTTAAGCTCATTTCATCCCTGCGACTCTAAACTCTCGAACCTATTTGGCTTGTTTGATTTTTCTTGATTTTATCCCGGCTAATCCTCCTAAAGGATTGGCCTCTGGGTCCCAGTGGCATCGTCGCCTCGTCCAGAGTTTCTCCTGCACAATAATCATCCAGATTAAACATCTATAGAACAGCTCTTTATTTCATCTGGCAGCTTTATGCATGAAAGAATGGGTTTGCTCTGTGTGAACGGGAGGATCGAGGCCTTCAGGACTATTCCCAGTGATGTTCCCAGTGCTGTTCCCAGTGATGTTCCCAGTGCTGTTCCCAGTGCGGTTCCCAGTGTTGTTCCCAGTGCGGTTTCCAGTGTTGTTCCCAGTGCGGTTTCCAGTGTTGTTCCAGTGCTGTTCCCAGTTTTCCCCAGTGCGGTTTCCAGTGTTGTTCCAGTGCTGTTCCCAGTTTTCCCCAGTGTTGTTCCCAGTGCGGTTCCCAGTGCGGTTTCCAGTGTTGTTCCCAGTGCGGTTCCCAGTGCTGTTCCCAGTGCTGTTCCCAGTGCTGTTCCCAGTGCTGTTCCCAGTGTTGTTCCCAGTGCTGTTCCCAGTGCTATTCCCAAGTGTTCCCAGTGCTCTTCCCAGTGCTGTTCTCAGTTTTCCCAGTGTTGTTCCCAGTGTTGTTCCCAGTGTTGTTCCCAGTGCTGTTCCCAGTTTTCCCAGTGTTGTTCCCAGTGTTGTCCCCAGTGCTATTCCCAGTTTTCCCAGTGTTGTTCCCAGTGCTATTCCCAGTTTTCCCAGTGTTGTTCCCAGTGTTGTTCCCAGTGCTTTTCCCAGTTTTCCCAGTGCGGTTCCCAGTGTTGTTCCCAGTGCTATTCCCAGTTTTACAGTGCTGTTCCCAGTGCTGTTCCCAGTTTCCCCAGTGTTGTTCCCAGTGCTGTTCCCAGTGTTCCCAGTGTGGTTCCCAGTGTTGTTCCCAGTGTTCCCAGTGCGGTTCCCAGTGTTGTTCCTAGTGCGGTTCCCAGTGATGTTCTCAGTGTTGTTCCCAGTGCTGTTCCCAGTGCTGTTCCCAGTGTTGTTCCCAGTGCTCTTCCCAGTTTTCCCCAGTGTTGTTCCCAGTGTTGTTCCCAGTGTTGTTCCCAGTGTTGTTCCCAGTATTGTTTCCAGTGCTATTCCCAGTTTTTCCAGTGCTGTTCCCAGTGCTGTTCCCAGTTTTCCCCAGTGTTGTTCCCAGTGTTGTTCCCAGTGCCATTCCCAGTTTTTCCAGTGCTGTTCCCAGTGCTGTTCCCAGTTTTCCCAGTGTTGTTCCCTGTGCTGTTCCCAGTGCTGTTCCCAGTGTTGTTCCCAGTGTTGTTCCCAGTGCTGTTCCCAGTTTTCCCAGTGTTGTTCCCAGTGCAGTTCCCAGTGTTGTTCCCAGTGCTATTCCCAGTTTTCCAGTGCTGTTCCCAGTGCTGTTTCCAGTTTCCCCAGTGCTGTTCCCAGTGCTGTTCCCAGTGCTGTTCCCAGTGTGGTTCCCAGTGTTGTTCCCAGTGTTCCCAGTGCGGTTCCCAGTGCTGTTCCCAGTTTTCCCCAGTGTTGTTCCCAGTGCCATTCCCAGTTTTTACAGTGCTGTTCCCAGTGCTGTTCCCAGTTTTCCCAGTGTTGTTCCCTGTGCTGTTCCCAGTGTTGTTCCCAGTGTTGTTCCCAGTGCTGTTCCCAGTTTTCCCCAGTGTTGTTCCAGTGCTGTTCCCAGTTTTCCCCAGTGTTGTTCCCAGTGCTATTCACAGTTTTTCCAGTGCTGTTCCCAGTGCTATTCCCAGTTTTTCCAGTACTGTTCCCAGTTTTCCCCAGTGCTGTTACCAGTGCTGTTCCCAGTGCGGTTCCCAGTGCTGTTGGGATTGTAAGTGTTTTGTGATGCTTGGAATGAGAAACATTTGACATCTGTGGTCACTGTGAATTACTGCACGTGTTCTGAATCTGAATCATGAACGTCTGGAACATGTTATGGTTGAATAATGACAGAACTGTCTTGTAATGTTAGTTGTCATGTGATCTTTTTGAAGCGATCATGTCCTTCTAACTCGTTCTTTATAAACCGTAATCTTCTGCATTCTTAATCTCCTGAAAACAATAGCTCTTGCATAAGGGAAATATTGGATTTGAGGGATTAAATTAACATAATGAACTAAATTAATTAAGTTGATCAAATGTCAGCAAAGGGCAAATGCTTGATTGGAAATGCAGTGTAAAGCTTCAGCCCGCAGATATGGGTGCATGTGCATTGAGAATATTTGGACTTTGAAAAGATAGGCTGAAGGTTAAAGAGCGCTTCATCTTATTTATAAGACAGTGTATGAAAAGAAGCACTTTGGAGAGTTATGAAAGCATCATCTTTAATTCATGCATCTCTTCGCTGCTGGAGAGAACTCGCTGGAAAGATGATGCCTAAAATAATTAAAGTGCGCATGAATCCTGTTTCCATGAGGAGGAACGGCCTTGAACGAGATCTAAAGATGGATGTCAAAAATGCACTGAGGATTATGAAGGATATCTGTTTCTTTACTCATCCGAGGCTCCTAAACTCTGAACACAAGACAGTCCTGTTGCTTTAGCGAAGCAGCAAGTCAACGTCCCTCCGCGATCTACATGTGTGTTACGCTTTAAACACTAATGTTTCCTGCAGTCAGTTTACACGTGCGTCAGCTGCGCTTTCTCATACATATCATTCATTCGACGATATAAGACTCAAGTCTATCTGTTATGATTTTACAGATCATATTTTCATGTAAAGCAGTTATTTTTTCCTGCTATGAAAATAGAGCACTTCTAATATGTCAGCAAATTAAAATCACTTGTTTAGTGATGGTCATATTCAATGTGTTCACTGTAAAGCCGAGCTTCTAAGCTGTAAAACAGAATCTATTTATAAGTAAAAAAAAAAAAAAAAATCTATTTTGTGTTGATTATGTGACGTGATAACTTTGGATTTAATAGTTTAACAATAAATCGATGAATTGATCGCTCATTTAAACAACCAGCGATTATGGCAATTTATGTAATTGACATCCCTAATGAGATCTAAAAGGTTCTAATTGAAGTTCATCCACAAATTAGAGTTTTGTCATCCTCATGTTGTTCTAAACTGATGTTTTAGTCATTATTCACTGATAATCTTGCCAAAGATATTGTATTGAGTAAAGTGTCATTTATTCCTGTGATCAAAGCTGAATTTTCAGCATCATTACTCCAGTCTTCAGTGTCACATGATCCTTCAGAAATCACTCTAATATGAGGATCTGATGCTCAAGACACATGTATGATTATTATCAGTGTTGAAAACGGTTTATATTTATGTAAAAACTATCATACATTTTTTTATAGGATTTTTTGATGAATAGAAAGTTCAAAAGAACAGCATTTATTTGAAATAAAATCTTTTGTAACATTATAAATGTCTTTACTGTCACTGTTGATCAGTTTATTGTGTCCTTGATGAATAAAAGTATTAGTTCCTAAGTATTAATCTTTTTGACTCGGTAGTGTATATCTATACAGTTTTTATTCATTTTTATTTTACTTTTAATTATTTTACTAGATGAAAATGAGAAATGTTTGCTTGGCAACTAGCCGAAATAAATATTTTTTTAGTATTTTATTTCATTTAACATTTCTTTTATTTCAAGTAACAATTAATTTAAGTAACTATAATGCTTCACCTTCAGTGAAGGTGTAGTTGTAGTTTCAGTGAAGGTGTTGCTGTAGTTTCAGTGAAGGTGTTGCTGTAGTTTCAGTGAAGGTGTTGTTGTAGTTTCAGTGAAGGTGTAGTTGTAGTTTCAGTGAAGGTGTAGTTGTAGTTTCAGTGAAGGTGTTGCTGTAGTTTCAGTGAAGGTGTTGCTGTAGTTTCAGTGAAGGTGTTGCTGTAGTTTCAGTGAAGGTGTTGCTGTAGTTTCAGTGAAGGTGTTGCTGTAGTTTCAGTGAAGGTGTTGCTGTAGTTTCAGTGAAGGTGTAGTTGTAGTTTCAGTGAAGGTGTTGCTGTAGTTTCAGTGAAGGTGTTGCTGTAGTTTCAGTGAAGGTGTTGTTGTAGTTTCAGTGAAGGTGTTGCTGTAGTTTCAGTGAAGGTGTTGTTGTAGTTTCAGTGAAGGTGTAGTTGTAGTTTCAGTGAAGGTGTTGTTGTAGTTTCAGTGAAGGTGTTGTTGTAGTTTCAGT